GCGGACCCCATCACTCCCACCCTCTCCCGACCCCATCACTCCCACCCTCGCCCGACCCCATCACTCCCACACTCTCCCGACCCCATCACCCCACCCTCGCCCGACCCCATCACCCCCACCCTCGCACGACCCCATCACCCCCACCTCGCCCGACCCCATCACCCCCACCCTCGCCCGACCCCATCACTCCCACCCTCGCCCGACTCCATTACCCCACCCTCGCCCGACCCATCACCCCACCCTCGCCCGACCCCATCACTCCCACCCTCTCCCGACCCCATCACTCCCACCCTCGCCCGACCCCATCGCTCTCGCCCGACCCCATCACTCCCACCCTCGCCCGACCCCATCACTCCCACCCTCTCCCGACCCCATCACTCCCACCATCGCCCGACCCCATCACTCCCACCCTCTCCCGACCCCATCACCCCACCCTCGCCCGACCCCATCACCCCCACCCTCGCCCGACCCCATCACCCCCACCCTCGCCCGACCCCATCACCCTCGCCCGACCCCATCACTCCCACCCTCGCCCGACCCATCACTCCCACCTCTCCCGACCCCATCACTCCCACCCTCGCCCGACCCCATCACTCCCACCCTCTCCCGACCCCATCACCCCACCCTCGCCCGACCCCATCACCCCACCCTCGCCCGACCCCATCACCCCACCCTCGCCCGACCCCATCACCCCACCCTCGCCCGACCCCATCACTCCCCCCCTCTCCCGACCCCATCACTCCCACCCTCGCCCGACCCCATCACTCCCACCCTCTCCCGACCCCCACCCTCTCCCGACCCCATCACCGCCACCCTCGCCCGACCCCATCACTCCCACCCTCGCCCGACCCATCACTTCCACCCTCGCCCGACCCCATCACTCCCCCCCTCGCCCGACCCCATCACTCCCACCCTCGCCCGACCCCATCACTCCCACCCTCGCCCGACCCCATCGCTCTCGCCCGACCCCATCACTCCCACCCTCGCCTGACCCCATCACTCCCACCCTCTCCCGACCCCATCACTCCCCCCCTCTCCCGACCCCATCACTCCCACCCTCGCCGACCCCATCACTCCCACCCTCTCCTGACCCCATCACCCCCACCCTCCCCGACCCCATCAACCCCACCCTCGCCCGACCCCATCAACCCCACCCTCTCCCGACCCCATCACTCCCCCCCTCTCCCGACCACATCACTCCCACCCTCACACGACCCCATCACTCCCACCCTCTCCGGACCCCATCACTCCCACCCTCTCCGGACCCCATCACTCCCACCCTCGCCCGACCCCATCACTCCCACCCTCGCCCGACCCCATCACTCCCACCCTCGCCCGACCCCATCACTCCACCCTCGCCCGACCCCATCACTCCACCCTTCCCTACCCCATCACTCCCACCCTCGCCCGACCCCATCACTCCCACCCTCTCCCGACCCCATCACTCCCACCCTCGCCCAACCCCATCACCCCCAACCCCTCGCCCGACCCCATCACCCCCACACTCACCCGACCCCATCACTCCCACCCTCGCCCAACCCCATCACCCCCACCCTCGCCCAACCCATCACCCCCACCCTCGCCCGACCCCATCACCCCCACCCTCGCCCGACCCCATCACCCCCACCCTCGCCCAACCCCATCACTCCCACCCTCGCCCGACCCCATCACCCCCACCCTCGCCCGACCCCACCGGCTCCCCATCCCTCAGAGGATTGAGTTAAAGATCCTCGTCCTCACCTTTAAGGCCATCCATGGCTTTCCCCCTCCCACCTCTCTGACCTGCTGACTCCTTACCAACCTGCCCACTCTCTCAGTTCAGCGGTCTCCGGCTGCTCCATGTCTCCCGCCCGCCCCACCCTACCATCGGTGGCCGGACTTTCAGCCTCTCTGCCCCCACACTCTGGAACTCCATCCCACGGTCCCTTGGCCTCACTTCCTCCCTCACCTCCTTCAAGGCCGGTCTCAAGACCCTTCTCTTCGGCCGTGCCTTTGGTCTCCCTCCCACCTCTCTGCCTTCCCTCACCCCTACACCACCCCCTCACCCCTACACCACCCCCTCACCCCTACCCCACACCCTCACCCCTACCCCACCCCCTCACCTATCCCACCCCCTCACGCCTACCCCACCCCTCCCCCATCCTCAGACCCCGACCCCTGACTGCTTTGGGACGTCCTCCTGACGTGAAAGGTGCTCTATAGATGTCATTTTGTTGTTGTTGTTGTTGACATCCTTCCTAAAGTGTGGGGCCCAGAAGTGAGCACAGTCTCGAGCTGAGGCCTAACCGGTGTTTATAAAGGTTCATCATAACTTCCTGACTTGTGTATTCTATGCCCCTATTTATAAAGCCCAGTATCCCGGATGCTTTATTAACAGCTCTTATCAGCCTGTCCGGCCACCATCAAAGATTTACTATATATGACCCCCAGGTCTCTCTGTTCCTTTAAGATTGTCCCATCAGCTTATATCGCCTCTCCTCATTCTTCCTCCAAAAATGCATCACTTCTCATGCATTTCTCCACATGAACCTTCATCTGCCCCGTGTCTGCCCATGTTACCAGTCTGTCTGTGTCCATTTGCCGTCTGTTACTATCCTCCTCACTGTTTACTACTTTTCCAGCTTAGCATCATCTGCAAACTTGGAAATTGGAGTCAGCAGGACAAACCTTGGGCAAGTTTCCTTACTCCATATGCCTGATATTAATCCCTCAAGAAAAATAAATAAATTGGTTGCTTCAATCCACAACTGTTTGTGGGACATTTCTGTTTGCAATTGGCTGCCGCATTTTGCCCACAAATATGCAGTCAATTCACTTCTGTGAAGCGCTTTGAGACGTTTAGAAGAAGTGATAAGACGCTATGTCAAATGTAAGGATTATTATTAAATTGTACTCCCTATACCCAAGTCCAGGTTACGTGTACAGATCACAAACAGCAGTTCTCCCAGGACTGACCCCGGGGGACACCACTTCCCTCCAATAAGAAAAACAACCGTTCACCACCACTCTCTGCTTCCTGTCTCCCAGATAGTTCTGTATCCGCTGCCACTGTCCCTTTAATCCTGTGGGCTTCTGTTTTGCGAACAAGTCTCTTATGTGGCACTTTATCAAACGCTTTTTAAAAATTCATATAAACTAAATCCACTGCACTGCCTTCATCCACTCTCTCCGTTACCTCATCAAAAAAACTCTTATCAGGTTTGTTATACATGATTTGCCTTTTAACAAACCCGTGTTGATTGTCCTTTATTAACCCATATTTTTCTAAGTGAAAATTTATTTTGTACCGTATTATAGTCTCTGGAAGTTTCCCCACTGACTGGCCTGTAGTTCCCAGGTTTATCCCTCTGCCCCTTTTTGTACAGGGAGTAACATTTGCAACCCTCCAGTCCTCTGGCACCACCCGGTGTCCAAAGAGGATGAAAGATTATGGCCAGAGCCTCCGTTATTTCCACCCTTACTTCCCTCAGTAAGCTTGGATGATCTTGTCTACCTTGAGCACCGACAACCTTTTTAGTACCTCCCCTCGGTTTACTCTTATCTTATCCAATTTCTCTACCCTCTCCTCCGATACTGTGGCATTGGCTCCATCCTCTTCTTTTGTGAAAACAGATGCAAAGTCATCATTCAGTACGTGAGCCCTCTGCCTCCATAAGACGATTTCCTCTTTGGTCCCTAATCAGCCCCACTCTACCTTTGACTAACCTTTTATTCTTTATATGCTTATAGAATCCCTTTTATGTTACCCACTAATCTTCTCATACAATCTCTTTGCCCCTCTTATTTCCTTTTTCAGTTTTCCCCTGTACTTTCCATTTTCTATTTGATTATCTTCTGTATTTTAGACCCGACATTTATCATAAACCTCCTTTTTCTCTTTTATTTTAATCCTAATTTCCTTATTCACCCAGGGAGGTTTGGATGTCCTACCTTTCCTATTTGTGGGAATGTATTTGTTCTGTCCCCAAACTATTTTAAGGCTTCCCGTTGCTCGTTAGTTGTTTTACTTGCCAATCTTTCTTTCCAGTCCACCTTGGCTAGGACCCTTTTTAACTCCCTGAAATTAGCCTCTTCCAGTTGAGTATCTTCACCTTTGATTGTTCCTTATCCCTTTCCATATGTACTCTAAAGCTAATGAGGTTGTGATCACTGTTGTCCACATGTTCTCCTACTGAAACCTGCTCCACTTGCCTCACTTCATTCCCCAAAATGAGATCCAGCACTGCTTCCTTCCTCGTTGGGTTGGAAACATACTGATCCAGAAGGTTATCCTGCACACATTTCAGGAATCCTCCCCCCTCCTTGCCCTTTACACTGTTATTTTGCCAGTCTATGTTAGGATAACTGAAGTCCCCCATTATCACTACTCTGTTGGTTTTAATTCTTTCTGAAATCGGCTGCAGATTTGCTCATCTTGTTTCCAAAATGTAAGTAATACAAAATATGCTAGAACTGTCAGAATTTTTTCATTCTCCCTATCTCTCACTCAATCACACTTTCCCTTATTTTAAAAATTTCTCTGTTTCTCAGTGTGATTGTGCCTTCTGACATGTTTATTTGCAGTGTAAATGTACAATGACCTAATTTGGGACTTGGCCTTGTAACTCACAATAATGACTGACAAAGAATCGAATTGGGCAGCCTATCACATGACAGTTTTGATTATCCGAAGCATTTCTCTGAAATATACAAATAAAAACATTTCAATCCCTAGAAAATAGCCTATTTTGTAATTGAAAGTCTGACGCTGAGACATGGGTGTGGCAAATACTAGAATGGCAGGTCACAGTGTGAAAGGAAGCATTTTTCGTGTATTTGGATTTGTTTTGAACAATCTCTCAAACTTTCAATTAATAATCTATGAGCAATGTTTCTGAATATTTCCATGTTCTTAGTTCAGTTTATACAAAATATTCAGTATAAATATTGTCCAGGTGAAAATAACTCCTAGTTATCAGTCTATTAAGTAAATTAACTTTTTTCTTATTTCTAATTTGCAGATATTTGATACGACAGAAAACAAAATGGTATGGTTATGATTTTGCTGCAAACTTTTCACTTTCGAAATGGAGAAAAAAAATATTTGTTATATTCAGCCAATTACAGTACTTCACTGAGCTTCGGATGATGTAGCAAGCTCTTATGCTGTTTTTTTCCCAATCAAATGGAATTAATTTGAATGGAATTAGTTAAAATTAAGAAATTTAGTGCAACATTTTGACATTTTCCCTGTAAAATTCACTTTGAAATTTGTGTTGTAAAAGTATGATTGTTCAAAATCATATGTACAAAAAACATTGTACTGGGATGTATGCTTGCAATTGTGGTCACCTAAATCCCTACATAGTCTTGTGGGGGGGTTAAAACATGCCTCTTTTCTCTGCCCTTAATTTCTTGATTGGAGCAACATTAATGGAGCCTTATTGACATTGGGATTTTACAGTCAAACGTCGATATCTTAATCCTATCACATCATAAGATTTAATGTTTAACGGTCATTTTCCAAAAGTCTTGTTCAAATACTTAGATTTACTTTGCAGTCACGAAGATATGACTCTCGAACTACCATATTTTCACCTGAAGGTAAAGTTTGCAAAGTTACGTTTCAATAAAATAAAGGACTTGATTTGTTCTGTTTTGATTAAAGTGTATTGTACCTTATTTTGTTAATTCAAGTGCATATCTTAAAAATCTAGGTCGACTCTATCAGGTGGAATATGCAATGGAAGCAATTGGCCATGCTGGAACCTGCCTCGGGATTTTAGCAAACGATGGTGTTTTGTTGGCAGCAGAGAGACGAAACATACACAAACTGCTTGATGAAGTCTTCTTTTCTGAAAAAATATATAAGCTGAATGAGTAAGTCCTAGACTCAGATGTATTTACAATGTTATGAATTGTAAATTAATGCTAACCTTTTAGGAAAATTGTTACTACAACCTGATAACTTCTTCAATTGCTCATACAATAGAAGCATGTTAATCCAGACACATCGGGGAGGGCCGTTTTGTCCATCTTGAGAGGTGTTCGAGAGTAACTAAGATACCATTCCCGCCCAGCAGAATGGCTGGAGTCTACTGTCAATCAATATTAGACTCCTCCCATCTCAATCGCAAAGCCCCTCAGACCGCGCCACACAGAAGGCGACCAGCACGGCATTTTTCCCTGATTAACTGGATTTATGTCCAAATTAACCACCATATTTAAAATTGGTAAGAATATAAATGATTTGTTTTACCCGTCGGCCAGGGTTAACAGGGTTTATAATTCCACTATTAAACAATGCAAAACCCTTTTGTTTTTTCCCCACTGGTCCTACTCCACTAGTTTATAACTATTTTGAGTGATTCTTTTATTTGTTTTAGATAATTTATTTTACTTGTAGTAAAACCAGTTGTATCCCAATTTTTGACAATAGTATTGAACTGATAATGAGCAGTTTCTGTTGCCTGTTCCAGTACTCAACATTTTGTGTGACAAATGTCTAATACCTGTCTTATAGTGACATGGCTTGCAGTGTTGCAGGGATCACATCTGATGCAAATGTTTTGACAAATGAACTCAGGTTGATTGCTCAGAGGTAGGTACTCATTAACTAATGCAAAATAAATTAATGGAACTCAAAGAGGACACTGGAGTTCGATGGCAGCATCTGAGAGGGAAGTCAGGGAGGAAATAATAGATGTTTTGACAACAATTTTAGCGAATATCCTTGGAATAGAAAGTTGTTCCAGGAGACTGGATGGCAGCTGTTTAAAAAAGGAGAATTGGACCAGCTGAGTAATTATGGACCAGTCAGTCTAATGCCCATAGTGGGAAAACATTTGGAGGCTATAATACAGGACAATATTAATAACCACTTGGAAAGGCGTGGATTGGTTAAAGACATTACCTTCACACCATCAGCTTCAGATATTCTCTCGGTTATTTTGTCAAAAATCTATTTGCCAGGCAAAACTTGTCTTTAACAAATCCTTGTTGTCTTTAACCAATCCACCCCAGCTCAGGTGCCCAGCCGGCATTGTCAAGCATTTTGAGACGTCTTTCCAATGTGAAAAAGGCGTAATGTATATGTTATGTTTCTGGAAGGGAAAAAATATTGCACATGTGGCCCATGGGAATTTCTCAAATCCAGCATCCAGCCTCAGCAGCAGAAAGGTGGACCAACCTGATCTAGACTCAGTTGGAATTTCTCCCTATTATTCAGTTTTAAATTAGTGAAATATTTTGTGTATTTATTTCCAGATATCTTCTTCAGTACCAGGAACCAATCCCTTGTGAACAGCTGGTCACAACACTATGTGATATCAAGCAAGCTTACACCCAGTTTGGAGGTAAGGGGAACATTCCAGTCTAATATTTGAAAAGTTAATGATGGAATTTGGAGAATGGTAAAATTTAGTGACATTCCATTCGCCTTCCAACTTAAAAATTTAAAGATTAGCTTAAAAACAAAACTTCCATTTATATGGTGCCCTTCACGCAGGCTAGTGTCTCGGGGGAACTGAAAAACATAATTGAACCTCATTAATTGGTGAACTACAGACCAGCATTAGTTTACTCTGAATTCCATCGAAAGATGAAATATCTGCCTGTCAGTATGTGACATAAACATGCTAATAATAATTATTATGATACATTATATGTTGGGCCAATAGAAAAGTGTGGCCCCACTCTTGTGGAATTCACTACAAACAACAACCGCCTTCCCCCCACCCCACCCTCCACCACCAACTACAAAGCCACTATAAATGTAGTTTCCGGCCCGCGGGCCTTTCGCATGTTTCCCTCTCGTCACTGGGTGAGGCGGCTCTGGACTCTCTTTGGGTGCAGCGCAAGTGGCAAATGGACTTCAGTCGGAGGCCCCGCTGCTGTGATTGTCTGTGTGTCTCACTGTGTTTGTGTGTGAGAGTGTATGAGTGTGTATGATTGTCTGTGTGTATGTCTCTCTCTATATGCATTTGTGAGTGTCTGTGTCTCTTTCTCTTTGTTTGTGAGTGCCTGTGTGAGGATGTCTGTGTCTCCTGTGTGTTTGTGGGTCTGCCTGTGTGTGTGTGTCTCTCTATGTGAGTGTGGGTCTCTCTTTGAGAATGTCTCTCTCTGTGTATCTGTGAGTGTGTGTCTCTCTCTCTCTCTATGTCTGTGAATGGGTGTGTGCCTCTCTCTGTGTCTGTGAGTGTTTCTGTGTCTCTCTGACAGTATATCTGTGAGTGTGTGTGTCTCTGTCTGGGTCTGCGTACAGTGCTGGGCCCTGAGAGCTCCTGTAGCCTTGCTGGTGTCCCCCCCCCCTCCCCCCAAAAGAAAAGGCAACAAGTTTTTGTTAAAGAAGTAATTAATATTTTCCTTTGCGGCAATCTAATATGTGTTATTTCCTCATGTTTTGTTTTTATCAATAAAGTGAAAAAATGTAAGTTTGCAGTAAAATGTTCCTCAATAGCATTAATCGATTTCCACAATTTTCTGCAAAAAGTTGCCAAAGAATCCACCATAATTTTCCGCAGGCAAATATTCACACATTTTTGGGCAAATATTTCCAAACTTTTCTATTGGCCCAGATTATATGCAAGGAAATATACACACAGTGGTTTGAAAAGCAGGTATAATGGAGAAGTTGTTCCTGTAACAAACATTCTTTGATTTCAGCTCTTAGCCATAGTAATGTTAACGCCATTTAGATATTCTAGAAAAGATGAAAATTTCCTTCAAAACGTGTGACTTATTTGGCAGCCAAAGTCACATGATGTCTCTGTCATTAGGACTCCATTTGGCTCAATGATCTTCTGGACCTCTCCACTGCTTTTGATATCGTCGATCATGCCAACCTCCCTGTGTCCCTCATGCTCCTCAGAGGGACCCCACTCTACTTGGTCGAGTCTAACCTGATCCACCACCAAAAATGTCTCCACAAATGGTTTCTCCTCCTGACCAGAGCCAACTGTGACCCCTTCCTTTTCCTCATTTACATGCTCTCTCTCAGTGATGTCATCTGCAGACATAGGGTCAATTTTCACATGTATGCAGACAATGTCATTTTCCTCTTACATTTCTTCCTCAAGCGATCCCAGGTCCACCGATGCTTTTGCTTGTCAGACACCACGGCCTGGGTGATTTCCAACTTTCTACATGTTATAAATATTATTATAAAGACATCCTCCTTGGCTCCTGCCAACATCTTCTCACCTGAGGCTCCTTGGCTACATGGCTTATCTCTCAGACTCCATGGATTATCTCTCAGACTCGCTGAACCTGTGCACAACCTTGGCATTGATTTCAACCCCCTGCTGTCACCACATCCAGTTCCTGATCAGGACCACTTTCCGCCACCACTGCCCACCTCTGACCCAATAAAGCTGAAACCCTTAATGACACATTACTGCCGTCTTCACTTTGTTTCCACGAATGTTTTTTCCTCCACCCCCCACACTGTCTCGTGCGGTGTCCCTCAGGGCTCTGTCCTCGGTCCCCTCCTCTTCACCCTCTATATGCTCCCCCTGTGGTGACATCATCCGCAGACATGGGGTTCACTTCCACATGTATGCGGATGACACCCAACTCTACCTTTCCTCCTCTACCCTCAACTCCACGACCCCCGATGTCCTGACAGCTGCCTGTCCGACATCGAGTCCTGGACGAGAGACAACTTTCTTCAGCTCAACGTGCGTAAAACTGAGGCCCTCCTGATTGGCTCACGTCAGCGCCTCCGCACCTCAGGCGCTGACAGCATCAGCATCCAAGGCCGCACTCTCCACTTCTCAAAGCCATCAGAAACCTCGGGGTTCCCCTCGACCCTGAGCTATCCTTTCTCCCTCATATCCGCACCACAACTGGCACCGCCTTCCATCACCTCCGGAACATCGCAGACTACGGCACTACCTCACCCCTCACGCGGCTGAAACTCTGGTCCATGCCTTTACCACCTCAAGGCTGGACTATGGGAACTCTCTCCTCGACGGCCTTCCCGGCCCTCCCTCCACACTGCAGGTCATTCAGAACTCTGCAGCTCGTGTACTGTCCCACACCAGACACCGAGACCACATCACGCCCGCCCTCGCCCTCACCCTCGCTCGCCTCCACTGGCTCCCCATCCCCCAGAGGATCGAATTCAAGATCCTCATCCTCACCTACACGGCCATTCACGGCCTTGCTCCCTCCTACCTCTCTGACCTACTATCCCCCTACCTACCTGCCCGTACCCTCCGTTCCTCTGGCTCCGGTCTGCTCCACATCCCCCACCCCAACCGCCCTACCATCGGTGGCCGGGCCTTCAGCCTCTCAGCCCCGAGGCTCTGGAATTTTGTCCCCCAGTGCCTTCAACTTGCCTCCTCCTTTTCCTCCTTCAAGGCCAGTCTCAAGACCTTCCTCTTTGACCGTGCCTTCAGCTCCCCTCTCGACTCTCTACCCCCTCCTCGCTCCCTCCCTCCCCTCACCCTGACCATTTCCCCCCTCCTCGCTCCCTCCCTTCCCTCCCCTCACCCTGACCATTTCCCCAATGCTCGGGTCCTGACCCAACTGTACAGCGCCTTGGGACGTCTTCCCGACGTGAAAGGCGCTCTATAAATGGAATCTTGTTGTTGTTGTTGATTTTCCCAATACCCTCCTTGCCAGTCACCCCAGCTCCACCACCCATCAAATCCAATTAATTTAAAACTCAGCTACATGCATTTTCACCCATACCAAACTCTGTTGCCTTCGATACCGTGGACCACTCCATGCTCCTCCGTTGCCTCTCCTCTCACCTCAACCTTCAAGATTCTGTCCTTGAATGGTTCAGGTCTTATCCCTTACATTGTCTCCAATTTGTCTCCTACCACGGTTTCTCTTCCAGCGCCGCACAGTCTTGTGCGGTGTTCCTCAGGGCTTTGTCCGCAGTCCCCTCCTCTTCAACCTCTACATGCTCCCCGTTGGTGACATCATCGCAGATATGGGGTCAACTTCCACATGTACCCAGATGACACTCACCTCTGTCTCTCTGCCTCCACCTCGATTCCAGGACAACTGACATCCTGACTGACTGTCTGTCAGACATCAATTCATCACCTCAAGGCTCAACTACAGAAACTCCCTCCTTGTCGGCCTCCTCAACTTTTCCCTACACAAGCTGCAAATCATCCAGAACTCTGCAACTCATGTCTTCTCCTGCACCAGGCTCCGTGACCCCATCATCCCCACCCTCACCCAGCTCCACTGGCTCCCCATTCCTCAGAGGATAGTATTCAAAATAATCGTCCTCACTTTCAAGGCCCTCCACGGCCTTGCCAACCTCCTATATCTCTGACCTGCTGACCCCCTCTCAACCTGTCCGCTCCCTCTATTCAGCAAGAACCTACCATCGGCGGCCGGGCTTTCAGCCTCTTTGCCCGCGCCCTTTGGAATTCTATCCCACAATCCCATCGCTTCGCTCCTTCCGTCGCCTCCTTCAAGGTACAACTCAAGGCTCTCCTTTTCGATCGTACTTTCAGCCGTCCTCCTACCTCTCTGCCCACCTTCAATCTCATCCCTGCCCCCCCACGCTCGGGTCCTGATCCCCAACTGTTCAGTACCTTGGGACGTCTCCCGAAGTGAAAGGTGCTTTACAAGGGTAATTTTGTTGTTGTTGTTGTGCCCCAGTCCTTCACAGGCTCCATTGACTCTCTGTTGCCGAATGGATCAACTTCACGATGCTGACAATTACATTTAAATCATTTCACACCCTCACACCTCCCTATGTTTCCGAGTTGCTCACACCCTCCTGCACTACCTAATAATCCTTGCATTTGATATAGCGCTTTTCACGTCGGGAGGACGTCCCAAAGCGCTTCACAGAACACACTGTAAAGTGAATTGACTGTATATTTGTGGGCGAACGCGGCAGCCAATTGCGCACAGTAGATTGAAAATGACCAATTTATTATTGTTTTTGGTTTTGGAGGGATTATTACCTATCCTCTCCGCTCAGCTGGCCCAGGGTTCTACATTTCTCTGGTCCCCACCTTCAGCCTTTACACTCTGGTCCCCCTTCTGCCTTGCCCATCTTCAGATCGAACCTGAAGCCCTTCCTCTTTGACCAAGCCTACAGTCACGTCCCATCTCTCACTGGCTCAGCATCAAACTCCGCCACTGTTCAGTGCTACCTCTGTGAAGACGTTATATAAATGCAAGTCATGATCTGTGCGGTGGCTCCCTCTACATGTATTGGAGTTGTGGGATTGCATTGCCTGCATTGGTTGATTTAGATTTCTGCAGGTATCAACTTTCCCTCAGGAATTTACTTCTGCTGATCTTGTAAACCTTAATTACCCCCTTCCCCAGGCCATCGCACAGTCCTTGCGTTTGATATATCATCTTATTTCATCAAAAAGTCTCAAAGCCCTTCAGAGTTTCTGTGAAGTGCAGTAAGTATTTATTTGTAGGAAAACATGTATTTGTTTCTCTCTAAACCTGATAGTTCTTTTTTCTATTGTTTTCCAAAATGGAAATGCCATTATATTTTGTTTTGGAGCTCCTCTCCTGTGGTCTAATCTCTAATGAAATTTTGTGTAATGTTTTGGGGAGTTTTGCCTACTGTTGAAAGCTACAGATTGACAAATTGACAAAGGTGGTAGGGTTATGGTGAAGCAGGATGCTGCATAATTGATTGGATTGCAGTAGGATCACTTGTCATACATTTTTTGTGCTATGTGCACCTCTAGTTTCTAGTACAACATAATTGCAAGTTCAAGTTAATCACTGGTGCAAACAGGATAGGAAACTGTTATGGAATGCCTGCTAGTTTTAAATTATTACTGGTACTGCAATAGCTGGGCGGATAGCCTGGGGAGAGGGGTAATTAAGATTTACAAGATCCTGGTCTGAGCTACATTCACATTGTAGCTTTGTGGGCTTCTTGCTTTTGGATGAACTTGAAAAACTGAAAACGTTTTTGCCAGTGAAGAAAATGAAGTTAATAAATCATCTAATTCCGTATGATTAATGTATAAAGTTTATTGCTGCAGACCTTAGAGAAGCAATAACCAATATAGGCTCTATATTTGGCCCTCAATATATTTCAAATAAAAATGTCTTGTTTCTCCTGTAATGCTGTATCTGTTATATAAATGCTGTGTATCCAAGAAGGTTAGATTATATTTTCTAAAAATCTGTTTATATTCACAGGAAAGCGTCCATTTGGTGTTTCACTGCTCTATGTGGGATGGGATAAGCACTATGGCTATCAGCTTTATCAGAGTGACCCCAGTGGAAACTATGGAGGCTGGAAAGCCACATGCATTGGAAATAACAGTGCTGTAAGTATTTTGACTAATGGTTTGCATAACTTTCTGCAAAGAGTACATTTTACGTAAATACAAGCCTAAACTTTATTTAAAATTTGGATCTAAAATACTTCAAATATCTCATTGATTGCTGTGTTCACCTGCACAGTTACTACATTCTACAGTGGATCATTACAGATGAATCTAAGTGCACTGAGATGCCTTGACATCACAATAAGGTGCGATATCAATTGGGAGGATCATCCAAGTGTCTTGTCACACGTGGAAACCCATTACCATGCTTAAGTGTATCCAAACCAAACCGAGAATTCCATTCTTCCCACCAACACATGGAATTTCCATAGCTATTTATTAAAATGGAGTCCTGTAGCGTATTGAGTCCCCCAAAAATAATAATAATGATTTGGTCACTCAATCCACCATTGTTTGTGGGACACGCTGTGCGCAATTGGCTGCCGCATTTCGCCCACAAATATACTTCACGGTATATTGTGTGAAGTGCTTTGAGACTTCTCAAGGATGTGATAAGGTGCAAATACAAGGATTATTAAATGGAATACTCACTCTCTCCCTGGAAGGACAGATCCAGCTTACCTAATTTCAGAGTATTAGGTGCAGGTTAGCAAAGAGCTAAGGCTTGGGGACCCCAGAATGTATGATGAGGTAACTGCTGGAGGTTTAACAACCAAAAATAGCTTTCATTGAGGGAACTGCCTGGCAAGCTTTCCTGCTGCTTGTCCAGCTAGGACCTTGTCCAGAAGGTTGTGAGTTCAAGACCCACACTGGGACTTGGAATCACAGAGTCTAAGCTGTTATTCCAATGCAACTCTGAGGTGTGTTGCATTGTTGGAGGTGTCGTTCTTTGGATGAGATGTTTAATTGTCTGCCTGTTCTGGTGGATGCAAAGATGGCACTATTCGAAAAGAGAAGGAGTTTCTCCCGGTGTCCCAGCCAACAATCCCCCAAATAAAATTGGTCATTCACTTCATGGCTTTCTCATAAAATCATAGAATAATACCGCACAGAAGGAGGCCATTCGCCCATCGTGCGTGTGCTGCTCTTTGAAAAGAGCTTCCAAATCAACCCACTCCCCCACTCTCTCCCCAAAGCACTGATCAACCCCACTCCCCCACTCTCTCCCCATAGCCCTGATCAACCCCACATACTGGATAAGAAAGGAGTCCTCTACACATTGAAGGAACTCCATTCTCTTATCCCCTTTATTTTCCTCTTCTGGCAAATTTATTTGGGGTTAGTTGAAATCCCCTATGATTATTATTCCATGTATTTTACTCATTTCCCTAATTTGCTTGCATATTCTTCCTCTACCTCCCTTCCACTATTAGGTGGTCTGTAGAGCACCCCTATTTGTGTGATTGAGCCCTATTTATCTTTTATCTCGATCCACACAGATTCTGTTTCTATCTTACTGTTGGCTATGTCCCTTTTTTCTATTGCAATGATGTTATGAGTACAGCTATTCCACTGCCCCTTTTCCCATCTCTATCCTTTCTAAATACATTATAACCTGCAATGTTTAATTGACAATCCTGTTCTTTCTGTAGCCCGTTTCAGTAATCCCAATGATATCTGGTTCCTCACCACAAATTATTGCCTCCAGTTCTCCTGTTTTATTTTAGATGCTGTGTACATTCATGTTCAGACAGTTTCATCATTATTATTAATTGTTCCGCATTTTATTTTTGACGATCTGTTCTATAATTGTACTACAACAACAACAATTTGGATTTATATAGCACCCTCCACGCCGGACGGTGTCTCAGAGCTTCACAGTAACGGATCCCGGGGCCAAGCCGGGGGGAGGTGGCGGAAGGTGACCAAAGGCACGGTCGAAAAAAAAGGACTTCAGCTGAGACTATTAATTCCCTGACCATTTATATTCTCCTATTTCTTACTTTTGTCTGGCTTGAGTTATTTCCTTCTGATCCCTCCCCCCGTTTACTAGTTTAAAGCCTTTGCCACAACCCTATTTCCCCTTTCCACTAGGACACTGGTCCCCTTCTACTTCAGGTGGAGCCTGTCCAGTTTGTACAGCTCTTTCCTGACCCAGTATTGGTGCCAGTGTCCCATGAAGTGGAGCCCTTCTTTCCCACATCAATCCTTTAGCCACGTGTTAACTTTCCTAATCTGTTTCTCCCTCTTCCGATTCGCCTGTAGTTCAGGTAATAATCCAGTGATTATTACCTCAAGGTCCTGTTTTTTAACTTAACTCCTAACTCCTGGAACTCCCTCTCCAGGACCTCCTCCCTTTTTTTCCTATGTTGTTTGTCCCTACGTGGACCACGACAACTAGATCTATCCCATCCCTTTCCAAATTCCTCTTCAGCTGCTTCGAGATGTCCCTTACCCTGGCACCAGGTAGGCATCACACGCTTCAGGACTCTTGGCTACAGAGGATGCTGTCTATTCTGCTAAGAATTGAATCCCCTATCACAACTACATTTCTATTCTGCTCTTCCTGGCTTGGGACAGCCGTCTGCTCCGCTGTGCCTTGGTCTGTATTGTGTCTGTCCTCCACACATTCCTTGTGCTCACAGGAATCGAGTACCTCATACCTGTTGGACAGGACCAGTGTCTGTGGGACCTCATCCTCTTCCTCTCCCAGGTTCCCATTACTCTGCTCGCTGACAGTTGCACCCTCCCTTTCCTGTGCTTTCCTATGGGGTGTGGCCGAGTTCAGGATAAAACTATCCAGAAATTCCTCCCCCTTCCTTATTTCTCGGAGTGTGTCTAACTCACACTCCAGCTCAATGATTCTGAGCCGAAGTGTGTCAAGCCAGAAACATTTCCTGCAGAAGTGATAGTCCAGGACAGTCTCACAATCCACAAACTCCCACATATAGCATTCCCAACACACTGCCTGTGCTGTCATTTCAACTTGTATTTTATTAATTAAATATGTAGTTCACTTCGCACCTTCTACCCCTCTGCACCTAGAGACACACACACAGACTCAGAGACACAGAGGGAGACATACACAGACTCAGAGACACACAGAGAGAGACACACGCAGACTTAGAGACAGAGAGAGAGACAAACACACGCGCACAGACTCAGAGACAGAGAGAGACACACAGACTCAAAGACACACAGAGAGACACACAGACACCGAGAGAGAGGGAGAGATAGACTCAGAGACACAGAGAGACACATACACCCACAGACTCAGAGACACATAGAAAGACACAAACATACACAGACTCAAAGACACAGAGAGACACACACAGACTCAGACACAGAGAGAAACACACACACTCATACAGACTCAGAGACACAGAGAGAGAGGCACACAGACACAGAGAGAGGCACACATACACACAGACTCAGAGACACAGAGAGAGAGAGAGACACAGATTCAGACACAGAGAGAGACACACACACACAGACTCAAGAGACACAGAGACACACACAAAGACTCACACAGAGAGAGACACTCACCCACACACACTCGCAGACACAGAGAGACACACACCTCAGAGAGAGGAACACAAACTCATAGACACAAAGAAACACGCACACAGACAGAGGAGAGACACACACATACACATTCACACAGAGGCACTCACAAACAGACACAGACAGACAGACATACAGAGTAGAGAGACACACTCACATAGACACTCAGAAACATACAGAGGAGAGAGACACTCAAACACAGAGTGAGGGATACACTCGCATAGAGGAGAGAGCCACACTCACATTGCCAGTGAAACAGAGAGAGAGAAAGACACTGCCACACTCACACAGGCACACACACACACTCACACACATGCACATACTCACCGACAGACACATCCACATACTCATTCTCACACACATACTCTCACACACATACACACATACTCTCACACACATACACACATACTCTCACACATATGCTCACAAACACACACACACAGGCACACTGACTGACTGACAGACAGTCACATACACACAGACAATGACAACAGTGGGGGTTCCGAGTGAATCCTATTTCTCGCTTGTGTGTCCGGAGCCACCCTCAGTGACTTTGAGTAAGCAGTGTGAGGCCAGGGGAGAAGTTACATTTATAGCGGGTTTGTGGTGGAGGAGGATGCTTGTAGCGGATTCCGCAGCAAAAGTGCATTCCAGTATCTAAATATTACATTTTTTGTTGAATTTTCAGGCTGCAGTGTCCATGTTGAAACAAGATTACAAAGAAGGAGAGATGACTTTACTATCTGCCCTTGCATTGGCAATTAAAGTGTTGAATAAAACCATGGATGTTAGTAAACTATCAGCGGAAAAGGGTAAGTTGTGTTTAATATCAGATTCTGTGGCATTCTGTTTCCTTACGAAATTCTAGAAATGTCCCATCATGCTCACGGTCTCAAATTAAGATCATTTTCATTAATTGACCTAAACTCAAACAAAAAGATGTGAAGAAAATGCTGTTAGCTAATGTCATCATCAAATCAATGTTTTAAATTGCCAAGACATAAAATACAATAATAAAAATGGCAGTTCATGTACGAGGAGGTGAAGTGAGTGAGGCTAAAGATCACAGGACGTGAAGGAATTTGTAGCTGAGGATCGAGACCTTGAAGTCGATCCATTAGGAGACAAGGAGCCAGTACAGCTTCTACTGAAGTGATCAGTGGAGCCTGGTGAGGGGGTAATCAGGGGCCTGGTAAGGGCCGGGTATAATAATCCTTGCATTTGATACAGAGCCTTATCACGTCTTCAAGGCATCTCAAAGCCCTTCACAGAATAGACTGTAAAGTGAATTGACTAGTTGCGGACAAAACACGGCAGCCAATTGCACAGAGCAGTGTCCCACAAACGGTGGATTGAGTGACCAAATTATTTTTCTAGTCCAGGGATTATTATCAAGTGTGTGGAGTAAGAAAACTTGGACAAGGTTTCACCCTGCCAGGAATTGAACCCAGATCTTTCGCTTGCGAAGCGAGTGCTATTAACCAACAACAAAAACATCTTGCGCTTATATAGCACCCTCAATGCAGGGTAGGGTCTCAGAGCGCTTAACAGTGGTGGAGCCTGACTCCGAGCCGGGGGAGGGGGGAGGTGGCGATAAGCACAGTCGAACAGGAAAGTTTTCAGGTGGGACTTGAAAGAAGGGAGAGAGGGGGCAAGACGGAGGGATTGGGAGAGAGTATTCCAGAGATTCAGGGCGTAGTGGCTGAAAGCGCTACCTCCAATGGTGGGGTGGAGGGTGTGAGGGACAAGCAGGACACTGGTTCCAGTCGATCAGAAGCCTTGGGTGGTGGATTGGGGAGTGAGAGGGTCGGAGAGGTAGGGAGGTGTCAGGGAGTGATTGGATTTGAACACGAGTGTGAGGATCTTGAAGTCGATCTGTTTGGTGATGGGGAGCCAGTGGAGCCTGGGCCAGAACTGGTGAGATGTGGGTAGGGAGTTTGGTTCGGGTCAGTATGTGGGCGGCAGAGTCTGAATGAGCTGATTTTGTGAATGGTGGAGCTGGGGAGACCGGCGAGGAGTGAGTTGGAGTAATCCAGGCGGGAGGTGACAAACACATGCACCAGGGTTTCGGCTGCATTTGGGGTAATATACAGTCAGAGGCGGGCAATGTGACGAGATGGAAGAAAATGATCCTGGTCAGGGACCGGATGTGGGGGGAGGAAGGATAGTTGAGGGTCAAAACAGACACCAAAACAGACAACTCCCTAGTTCGGTGAGCCTGAGGGAGGTTGAGGAGGAGTGAAGTCGTTGAAGGAGTACGGCTTCCTTCTTATCCATATTCAGCTGCAGGAAGTTTACTCTCATCCAGGCCCTGATGTGTGCCAGACAAGCTGATAGAACATCGGGGGAACCTGGAGTTGGTGCTGGAGGCAAAGTAGATTTGTGTGTCACCTGCACTCATGTGGAAGTTTACCCGATGTCTGTGGGTGACATCACCCAGAGGGAGTATATAGATAAGGAAAAGAAGAGGCCAAGGATGGAGCCCTGGGGTGACCGGGCGAGGGCGGGAGGAGAAACCATTTGCTGAGATTAAATGGAGGCGGTTGGTTAAGTAGAACTCGAACCGTATGAGTGCGGTCCCACTAAGATGGATGAGAGAGGAGAGGAGGATGGTGTGGTCAACTGTGTCAAACGCGGCAGAGAGATCCAGGAGGATGAGGAGGCAGAGGGAGCCCTGGTCACAGATAGAGAGGACGTTGTTTGTGACTTTGACAAGCGCCGTCTCTGTGCTGTGGGCAGTCAGGGTGAAAACCAGACTGCAGGGGCTCGAGGAGGGAGTGGGGGGAGAGCTGTGACCGAAGTTGACCTGGAACAATGTGTTCCAGGACTTTGACAAGGAAGGGTAGGCTGGCGATGGGACGGTAGTGTGTGAGGTTAGAGGGATCGAGGGAGGAGTTTTTTGAGGTGGGTGTGATGGCAGTGGGTTTCAGGGGGAGTGAAGCACAGCCTGATGAGAGAGACTGATTGACCGTGTCAATCACTGAGCGACAGGACTCCACTAACAATAAATGGTACAGTTTTAAAGGGGGTACGAAAGACCTGGGGGTTCACATACACAGGTCTTTGAAGATGGCAGGACAGATTGATAGAGCTGTTAACAACAACAACAAGATTCCATTTATAGAGCGCCTTTCACGTCGGGAGGACGTCCCAAGGCGCTGTACAGTTGGGTCAGGATCCGAGCAGGGGGGAAATGGTCAGGGTGAGGGGAGGGAAGGGAGGGAGCGAGGAGGGGGGAAATGGTCAGGGAAGGGGAGGGAAGGGAGGGAGCGAGGAAGGGGGAAATGGTCAAGGTGAGGGGAGGGAAGGGAGGGAGCCAGGAGGGGGGAAATTGTCAGGGTGAGGGGAGGGAAGGGAGGGAGCGATGAGGGGGAAGAGAGTCGAGAGGGGAGCTGAAGGCTGAAGGTCAAAGAGAAAGGTCTTGAGACCGGCCTTGAAGGAGGAAAGGGAGGAAGTGGCGAAGGCACTGGGGATGGAGTTCCAGAGCCTCGGGGCTGAGAGGCTGAAGGCCCGGCCACCGATGGTAGGGCGGTTGGGGCGGGGGATGTGGAGCAGACCAGAGCCAGAGGAACGGAGGGTACGGGGGGGTACGTGGGGGGATAGTAGGTCAGAGAGGTAGGAGGGAGCGAGGCCGGGAATGGCCTTATAGGTGATGATGAGGATCTTGAATTCGATCCTCTGGGGGATGGGGAGCCAGTGGAGGCGAGCGATGGTGAGGGTGAGGGAGAGGGTGAGGGTGGGAGTGATGTGGGCGCGAGGACTGGTGCGGGACGGTACACGAGCTGCAGAGTTCTGAATGACCTGCAGTGTGGAGGGAGGGCCGGGAAGGCCGACGAGGAGAGAGTTCCCATAGTCCAGCCTTGAGGTGACAAAGGTGTGGACCAGAGTTTCAGCCGCGTGAGGGGTGAGGTAGTGCCGTAGTCTGCGATGTTCCGGAGGTGATGGAAGGCGGTGCCAGTTGTGGTGCGGATATGAGGGAGAAAGGACAGCTCAGGGTCGAGGGGAACCCCGAGGTTCCTGACTGGCTTTGAGAGGTGGAGAGTGCAGCCTTGGATGCTGATGCTGTCAGCGCCTGAGGTGCGGAGGCGCTAACCTGAGCCAATCAGGAGGGCCTCAGTTTTGCGCACGTTGAGCTGAAGAAAGTTGTCTCTCGTCCAGGACTCGATGTCGGACAGACAGCTGTCAGGACATCGGGGGTCGTGGAGTTGAGGGTAGAGGAGGAAAGGTAGAGTTGGGTGTCATCTGCATACATGTGGAAGTTAACCCCATGTCTGCGGATGATGTCACCACAGGGGGAGCATATGGAGGGTGAAGAGGAGGGGACCGAGGACAGAGCCCTGAGAGACACCACACGAGACAGTGCGGGGGGTGGAGGAGAAGCCATTCGTGGAAACAAAGTGAAGACGGTGGGAGAGGTACGACCTAAACCACTCAAGGACAGGGCCTTGAAGGTTGAGGTGGGAGGACAAGCGGTGGAGGAGGATAGCGTGGTCGACCGTATTGAATGCTGCCGATAGGTCGAGGAGGCAGAGGGAGCCCTGGTCACAGATGGTCAGGATGTCATTGGTGACCTTGACCAGGGCAGTTTCTGTGCTATGGGCCGCATGGAAACCCGACTGAAGGGGTTTGAATAATGAATGGGTGGAGAAGAAAGAGCGCAGCTGAGAGGCCACAACTCTTTCCAGGACCTTGGACAGGAAGCAGAGGTTGGAGATGGGCCGGAGATTGATAGCTGCGACGCATCAAGGGAGGGTTTTTCCAAGGTGGAGTGATGGTGGCAGTTTTTAAGGGAATGGGGACAGAGCCACAGGAGAGGGACAGGTTGACAATGTCTGTGATATGTAGGGCAGGAGGTGGAGCTGGGAGATAAGGAGTGGAGTGGGGATGGGGTCAAGGGAGCAGGTGGTGGGTTTCAGGGATAGGATGAGTTTGGTGACAGAGGGTGGGGAAACGGGTACGAAAGTGTGTAGGGGAGGATGGGTAGGAGTCGGAGTGTGGGAGGGAAGGGGTGGGGGGTGGGTGGGAGTCGGAGTGTGGGAGGGAGGGGGTGGGGGGTGGGTGGATGTTGGAGGGGAAGTGACCGTGGAGCGAATTCCCTTGATTTTGGATTGAAGGAAATCCAGCACCTCCTTGCAGTGAAGGTTGGAGGAGATGACCTGCTCGGGGTGGCGGGGGGGACGGAGGAGTCGGGATGTGGTGGAAAACAGTAGCCTGGGGTTGTTCTTCGCCTCCAGGATTATCCTGGAGTAGAAGGACGACTTGGCCGAGGCTGGAGTGGAGCGGTAGATTTTGAGGAGGTCCAGCCAGATTTGTCGGTGGACCGTTAGGCCAGATTTGACGCAGGTGCGTTCAGCGGCCAACACCTGGCTCTTCAGTGAGCGGAGGTGGGTGGTGAACCATGGGGAGGAGCGGGAGTAGGAGACAGTACGGGAGGTGATGGGGGCAGAGTGTCGAGTGTGGAGGAGAGGGTGTTGTGGAGGAGGGTGAGAGGAGAAGAGGGGTCAGTGAGGGTTGAAGGCCAGAGGGAGAGGAGTTCAGAGGACTCCAAGGCAGCGGTTAGGGATTGTGGGGGTAACTTCTTCCAGGGGCGGTAGAAGATGGTGGTGGGTCTGGTGGAGGTGGGGAGGGGGGTGGAGGTGGTGAAGGAGATGAAGTGATGGTCGGAGACGGCCTTGTCGGTGATAGACACTGAGGCCCCGGGTGATCACCAAGTCGAGTGGGTGGCCGTGACTGTGAGTGGGGGAGTTGATGTGGAGGGAGAGGTTGAGCGAGGAGAGCAGGGAGGAGAAATCTGAGGAGATAGAGCAGGAAG